ATTTTTTTAAATAACTTTTTTATAAACAACGAACGACGGCTAAAATCTTTTAATTATTTCTCGGGGATGTGTTCTTCATAGCATATGTCAAGGTCATTGACTTTTGAACGCGCTGACCTATGTGAATATTTACCCTTGTATATTATCGGAAATATTAATATTAAAATAATTACCTCTCGGCAAAAACTGAACCAGTCGACAATCGTATTCGGTGATGATACACCAGTTTCATCCTGCGTGTCATCTTGACGTGGATATCGTAGCATTAAAAAACATGCAACGATTTTACAAACGATGCCCACGTCAAGATTAGTTTTGTCGAACCAAGTACCACATTTTGCACTTTTATAGAATTGGCACTGTTCACGGACATGTTTCTTGTGTACATTCTTTACAAAGTATTGTTTTCTACATCGATACGATAATGTTTCTTTATCAATATTAACATTATTACCACATTTACTACACGTAATTGTACATGCTAAAATACCGTGTTGAATTAAAAAATCTACTAATCTTTCCTTCGAATATGTTAAATGAGCAAACTCTAGTAAGCTCAGCATTGCTCTGTTGTTTAGGATTTTAATACAATAAAGTGCATTAATACACAATTGTATTAGCGCACTTCATTTCTTTAAATTTCGTGTACAGTAATTTAAAGTTACTACAACGCATGCGTATGTGATCGCAGAACATGCGCGCGTGACCGCTGCGCATACCCATGTCACTATATTTTGTCGGTATGACAGGTTTCGTAACCTGAAAAGTGGTCAACTTTAACGACTAATATCTCGCTTCGCGGGGCAGAGCGACACTTTTTCCAAATAGAAAAGTTTCATTTAACGCAAAAACGCGTCGAATAAGCGTAAATGGATCAAAATCGGAGTGGAGGTAGCGATACTGTATAATTACCTTTATTTTATTTATAAATTAATATTATCTAAGGCTATTACTTAGTAATTTGTATTTTTTTGTATTTATACTTACATAAATAAAGACTAGTCCCGTCACTCTTGTCATGGGCGCCGCCATATTCCTGCAAGCGACCGAAGTTTGCGCATCTCTTACTTGAGGATCTCTAGTAAACACTAGAGTACCTCAAGTGAGAGTACGGACAACAGGGTAACGATCGGTGATTGGTCCGTCAAATTGAGGCAAAAGCGGAAGTAGCATGTCCGTGCGCACCAACTGTGTATACCACTGTTTGAAGAGAAATTGTTTCTAATTAAAATAATTCTGTGCTTTATATGAGAATAAAATATAAATAAGAAAAGAGGTGAGTAGTGAAAGATTGCATGTGCATATACGTGTTACAGCTCTGTTTGTGCTTATCAGCTTTAATATTACTGCAAAATAAAATATTTGGTATATATAACTCATACATTCAAGATAATTCATTTTATTAATTTCCCTTTTTATGTTGTATATTTTACAGGAGGATATTCTATAGGTTAGTTGAAACTTTATATTTATTAATATATAATTTTATTGATTGTGTATATATGTATTTGCTAATGTACATAATATCTTTTCATTTTATACAGACTTATTTCTTCGAAACTGGATTATGAGAACAAAGAGAAAAAAAGACGAAAATGAAGATATAGAGAGAAGATGTAATTGTATATTCTAATTTATTATCT